TATATATATATACTAATTGTATACTGTTATTAATAAGTATATTATTATTAATACGGCAAATAATATTAAATCTTTAGAATCTCTTCTCACAGTCACAATTGTTGCAAAACAAATTTTGTAAAGAATGAAATTGCAATGTTATCATGCTATTAGTAATATTAATATTACTTGCAGTACTTTGTAAACGTTATTACAGTGGCTTTTCATTCGTCATAAAAAAAAAAATATAATTCGCCAAAAAAAAGAAGAAAGGAGGGGGATGTTGTTATAAAGTAACTTAAATGAATAAATCACAGAGATTACAGGAGAATGAATTAATTAGGGATAAAAACGGGAGCCATCATTACGAGCGTTTATGTATGAACAAGCTGACGTTGAATGAACGTGAGTCATCTAGGCATACGATTGTGCACGTGTTACTACGGACGTGCCAGAAATGACGGATGCTAATAATTCAAGTTCTCAGAAAATTTGACGACTACTCTCTTCCAGTTAGATTTCACTATAGCACGCAAGACAGTCCAATTGTCTGGAAAACTTGGTCCTGTAATTGGTTCCCTGCCATTCGATGATTATACTTCATGATTGCAGTATAAACCTGAATAATCGTGACATTACTCAGAATCGATATTACTATGGTGCTGATAAGCGATAAGAAGCTGTATCTACGTTTTTGGTATTTACGTTTAGGTTGATTCAGAGTATTACTGGTGATTACAGAGTATACTAATTATTAATTTTTATTGATTTCTGTTGAATTAATTTATTCAATAATAAACTATAGAATTAATTCTTCATTACTTTCAAGCATGATTGCTAGAATAATTTATAGGTATACACTGAACGATAGTTTCGTAAATAAACGCAGTAAAATACAACAGTAAAGTTCAATAATAAAAATTTAATGTAAAGTTTATTATTATTGGACTGTAGTAAATTTAAAAATACAAAACGATGCATACAATGTTTCTAGTTGTATCTATAAAAATTTGAATCCAGTCATTACAAAACTTTAGAATTATTATTCTGTTTCTTTCAGGCTTCGATTATCACTTGACTTAGACAAATAATGACAAGGAATGAATTAATCAATCAAGGCTCTAGTCATAAATTAATAAGAAGAAATAAGAAGAGAAAGAATCAGTAACAATATAATATAATTGATAATATAGAAACGAAAAACGGAATTACAGATATAGTATACTTATGGTGGAAATGAAATGGCATATAAAAACATGGGAGATTCCTAAGTAAAGAGTTCATTATGTACAAGAGATTAGCAATCAGAGTGACGAATGAATTCGTCTCCTCCAGTTAACAGTTTAACGTGGATTTTTATTTTTTATTTAAAAAGTCTACGCCTACGTGTAACGAAATCTCATCCCACAGGAATAGGTTCCCGCGGTGTAACCCTATATGTATATACGCTTTAAATCTGCCT